AGCGGTGAAGGGGCGCGGATCGCTGACGTGGACGCGCGCGGGCACTTCACCGCTGAAGACCAAAGCGGTGATAGCCCCGCTTTCCACGTCAGCGATCCGCCCCCCACCCCGCGCCTTCACCGCTGCCGTCGGATGCAGTTATGCGCGGATTGTGGTTTTTCTCCACAATCCGACGCATCAGGAGAGGCCACGTCAGCGATCCCTGCACATCACCGCGTCCAACAAAGGCGGTGATGGCGCTGTGTTTGTTTGGGGCGGTGATAACTGGCCAGGTTTTTTCCCAGCCCCAAACCCTATAAATACCCATCCCCCCTCTCATTCCAAACCACACCACCACTTCATACTTCTTTCTCCCTCCATTTTTCACTCTAGTTTCGTTCTAAGTATGCTCTGTGGTTGCGGCTAAGTCCGATCTTCCGCATCAGAAAGAATTACTAGAGTTTTTGTTTTGTTGTTTTGTCGATACTCTCGCTAGCTTTTCGGCAAAAAATGGACGAAGAGGCTTTGAGAGTACGTAAATTTATTTAATTCTTTTGTGCATTTTTTTTTACATGGGTGCTAAAATTTAAATTGATTTGATTTCATATTTTTTTATAGATGGGTGCTGAGATATACGACCCTAGATTGTATATCGATCCTGGCCCAAGGGATCGAAGGTATTTAACCGGGCAAGATCAACATCGCTCTCGTTCAATTTGGAACAATAATCCGGTAGATACACTACTATTATTTCAATAGTTTTAAAGTTTTTATTTTGCTTTCTAAGTTTTTATTTTGCTTTCTATTGACTGACAATATTGTGTTTTTTGTTTTGTAGGAATCACTTATTCCCATCAGTCATCGAGGTACATGTCGATTGCCCCGTTGGCATCCTCGACTGCATCCCTATCTAGAGAGGGCGGGATTGCACAATTTGAGGCACTTTATGAGGCTAGATATTGACAACGATCTGCTGACGGCAATGGCAGAGCGATGGCGCCCTGAGCTGCATACCTTCCACTTTCCCGAGGGTGAAATGACGATCACCCTCAAAGATGTTGCCATCCTCACCGGGCTCCCGATCACCGGAGATGCCATCATCGACAGCTCGAGAAAACCAGAAGATGGTTGGGGGCCATTGATTCAGGAACGTCTGGGGTTCAACATGCCGACCACCACGCCCGTCGAAGGGGTTGGGCATCCACCACTGAATGCGGGGCAAGTATCGATCCCGTGGCTTGTTGACCACATCCAATTGGAGGTTAATATAGGCCTGGATACTCCTGAAGATCAGGTGGAGCGGTATGCACGTGTATACCTAATTGCCTTGGTTGGTGGGTTTCTGTTCCCCGACAAGTCAAATAAGTGGATACAAGGCATGTGGTTCCCTATGCTCCTCGGTGACTGGGACGAGATCGGGAGAAAAAGTTGGGGGTCGGCCGTCTTGGCTGGAATCTACCGAGAGTTGTGTACTTGCTCGAGGTTGGGAGCGAAACAAGCTGGTGGTGCGATGTTCATACTTCAACTCTGGGCATGGGAGCATCTTCCGTTTCTCGCACCTCAAGACCCTCGGGAATTCTGGTTGCCAGATGATGAGCTACGATTTGTAGCAAATCCCCCATATGGTTTCAAGTAAGTTCAATTTAAGTTGAATTTATTTTAGATATGCAATGGTAGCTAGTTAGGTGAATTTAGATTTTAGTGAACTTAGTGAACTTAGTATGCAATTTTAAGTATGCAATTATAGTATTTTAGTGAACTTAGCTAGGGGTGTACATGGGTCGGGTGGTTCGGGTTTAGTCATTTTAATCACCCGATCCATGCACTACGGTTTGGCAAATATCAAACCCAAACCCACCCAAAAATATTTAAACCCTACGGTTTGTTTCTAATTGGGTTGGGTCGGGTTGGCGATATTTTTAAGTAAAAACCCAACCCAACATAAAATATATAATTATTCTACATCATAAAAATATTTTATAACTAATTAAAATTTCAAACGAATGAACCAAAGTGAAAGGTATGAAAATTCACAAATGTTGTTTAAATTTTAATAAAATGTAATTTACTTCAACATATGTCTTGTTTTTTCACGATATTTGTTGAAATAGGCTAAAAATGTTATAAACAAACACATCCATCATATGTTATTCTATTAAAATTGTACACAAGAAATAGGATTACGTGAATCATAACTATATTCAATTTATGTCTAAACTTTAAGTCGAAGAATGCATTAGATTAGGGAGACCATGAGAGAAAAACATGGTGAAATATCTTAATTTTCTCATAAGTATATGACTATATAGTACATAAATATTTTTTAGATTCGAACTCATACTAATAGTTGGAACACGGGTTGGGTCGGGTTCTACGGGTTGTGTAATCCAAAATCCAAACCCAACCCAAAAGAGGCGGGTTGTACAAAAGAAAACCCCCACCCAACCCAAAACCTTCATTTTAGCGATAAATACGGGTGGGTTGGGTCGGGTTGGACGGGTGGGTCGGTTTCCGGGAGTGTTTGTTCACCCCTAAACTTAGCTATCTTCCAACTAAGCGAATTTAGAGACATTTTAGGTCTGCAATTCTAGTATTTTAGTGAATTTAGATATCTTCCAAGTAAGTGAATTTGGATTTATTCTAACCAAATCGTATTTAGCTAATTTAAAAATTGCTTATATATGTACTTTTGCTTAATTAGGTGGATCGGAGCAAATACTAACGACCACCAGGCCGAGCACTCTTTACTGTTTTATCGTGCTGAATTTGATAAGCCTTGGTGGAACCAGGTAAAAATATTGAATGTCATGATTTTAAATTTATTAGGTGGAGTGGATATAATTTTTACTAATTACGTGAATTGTAATGATTGTAGGCGGTATGGGATCCATATCCAAATGAAGTGGTTGAGTTGCATCGTCTTAGACATCCCGAGGATCAAGAGACATGGTTGTGCAAGGTGCCCTTAATCTGCTGGCACATGGTGGAGTGGCACCTGCCCGATCGATCTTTGAGGCAATATCGATTGGAGCAACCAATTCCAGCATCCCCACCTCAAGGGTTCAGGGAGCTCCACGCCATTGACCTACGCTACAACAAAAAGGATTGGACCCGCAAACATGAATTCTACATCAACATATGGGAGAATAGAAATCAGTGGGTGGTCCAAGGGGCGCCGGAGACAAGGCCAATGGGGTACCACGATGGCTACATGCGGTGGTATCGGCACTTCACGCTAAGATGGGTGTCAAAGCAAGGTGCTGTTTGGGGCGCAGTGGTAAGTGAATTCCATTTTGGCCTATTTTAGTTAATTTTTGTAGTATAATTACATGCCTATATTTGCTAGAATGTTAATTAACATTATTAGATTTAATGTTAGTTAATTTTTGTAGTATAATTACATGCCTATATTTGCTAGAATGTTAATTAACATTATTAGAGTTAATTTTAGTTAATTTTTGTAGTATGATTACATGCCTATATTAGATGATAGAAATCATTATTAGATTTACTATTAGTTAATTTTGTAAAACAATTTATTAGGTTGACGGTTTGGAGCATGCGAAGCACACCGTCGAGAGTGCACCCACCATGGATGAGCGGAAGACATCTTTTTTGCGCAGGCTTTTCAACAACTTGCTCTGTTGTACCAGAGAGCAAAGGAGGGATGTCATATTATACCCTCCAGTGCCTGCTCCGGCCCGACCTTCATTCCGTGCTGATGAGAGGATTGTGCCCCCAGAAGAGCCCCCACGGAGGAGCAGAAGAAGGGTGAGAGAACACATTGATGAGCTTCGTCCGTCTCAGCAAACTCAACTTCCTCAACCATGGCCACATTGTGAGTGGGCTACTAGTACTGAGGGAACCGGAGGGTCGTCAAGCTATGCCCCGACGATGGAGCATGACATGTTCACCCAAGCCACCCCTCAGTTCCACCATCAGCAACAAACTACTCAGTATCAGACCCCGCAACAGCAACATACATCATCGACTTTCTACCACACTTCTGGTCCAACTCAGCAACCTCCACCCCCACCACCTGTCTACACTCCGGTGGGTGGTCGGGTTAAGAGGAATCCGCGCGCAGTTGTCCAGCGGGCTCGTGAAGAAGGAGGAGGAGGTAGAGAGGGCGGAAGAAGGGGCCGAGGAGGTCGTGGAGGAAGAGGAAGAGGAAGAGAAGGGGAAGTGGAGGGAAATGAAGACAACCAGTGAACTATCTATGTCGTTCTAATTTAGTTCCATCTTTTTTTGTTTTCCATGAACTATCCATGTCGTCTAAATTTGGTTTGGGGCTTGTGTTGTTTTCCATGAACTATCTATGTTTCTAAATTTGGTTTCGGATTGTGTTGTTTTCCATTAACTATCTGTCGGCTAAATTTTGTTGGTTTTTACCCCCATGTTGTACCAAAATGAACAACAAACGCCCTTTATTACAATCACTCAACAAGATTAAAACAAGAAGTCCAAATTAAACATCACAACAACGAAAACTACTCAACAAGATTAAAACAAGGAAGTGAACAACAACAACATCAAGGTAGGTTCGGAATTGGCGCCGAATCTTGCTCTAGAGGTGGACCTGGGCAACGCCTCTTGTCATGACCCGGTTGTCTGCACTTTGAGCAACGCTTTGGACCCCGTCGGGCACGTTGTGATTGGTCCATTTCATTGTGAATCCTTTCGGTCCTAGGACGACCTTTGGTGCGCTTTAAGTGTAACGGTGGGATAATCAACTTCCCATTGTCTACAGGCCAATAAGCTTCATCCGGCAGGGGGCTAAAACTTGACGAGTAGGAGTTCCTGATCGCCTGTTCCGTGTAGTAAGGACTAACCAAACTGTAAGCGCTGAGGGTTATCGACTTAGCTACTGCCATTGCATGTGAACAAGGTACTCTTCTGTTTTGATACTTTTGGCATGTACACTCTCCGGTGCGAGTTTCTACGTGTAGAGTTACGGATTGACGATTATGCCCACGTCTTCCTCCACCCCAGATACCTGTTTGCACAGCAAAAATACCCAGGGTTGGACTCCTCCATTGCGGACATTAGTCTGGGGAGTAAAGCATACGAGTCATCCCAATCACCGTAGACATCAGCCATGGCCTTCTGCTTCCCATGCCACGCCTTCTTATACCTTATGGTGTAGGAGTGTCGATCCTTCACCTCCGCCATGATAGCTTTTATCTTGATATCTGGTTGTGCCTCGATAAGGTGCTTAATGGTTCTTGCCACTTTTTTTGCTTTCAGTTGCCGGTGATCCTGTGAAAGTATGGTTGAGGAGCAACTGTGGTTGTTCTCTGCTGTCCGCATGACCCAGACCCCCTTTCTCTTCATATATGCAGCACGAAGTTGCCACATACAACCCTCTCCAGCATTCTTACAAATGACATGCAGTTGTCCCTTGTCAGAATATTTTACCTTCCATTCGAAATTACGCCGCATGGCTTCTTCGCTAAAAGCGTCTTGCACATCGGCTTTTGAAGTGAACGCCATACCCACTTCCAAATTAGCAGTCGGATTATACACAGGCATGGGCCGATAGTCAGGGGCATCGTTCTGACCATATAAAAATTGATCAGGAACCTCTGTGTAGTAAGGCGTTGGTGCCTGGCGGAACGCCACCTCACTGTCATCGATATCGTCGTTATCGTCCGCATCTTCCTCCTCACTGACTGATCTCAAATCTTCCTCACTTTCATCGTCACTGGAGGCGAATGGATAGCTCGGCGAAGGAGGGTCATCGTTAGCAGCATAACCAGCATCGCCTTCTTGGTCATGCGAAGTACGCCCAGTTCGAAGGGTGTTTTCAATGTCACCCCACTCTGGACCCCAAGCAGGCCATTGATCACCGTCGGGCTGAACGATATCGACGGCAGTCTCACCACCATGTGGCAGGTATTCTTCCCACCCAACAGCTCCTTCAGAACTACCTCCTCCGTAGTTGCTTGAAGTACCTCCCCAACCATACCCTCCGGCAGAAGAACCTGCTCCGTAGTTACTTGAACTACCACCCCAGCCATACCCTCCTGCAAAACCATCATCATAAGAATACTGGTGAGAATGAGTTTCACCGACCGGCTCGGTCTCGACATACACCTCTGCAAGCCGCACCCCGTTCTCAGATATGAACTGTGTCATCATGTTCGCGTCGTCATCGTCATTTATGTCAACTCTTTCGTACATGACTCCGTCAGCACTCATGTTGGGATACCGGTAAGTAATTTGACGAACTCTCATTTGCCCGCCCGTACAAGTCCTTTCTGCACACCTGTCATGGAGTTCTTGCCACGAGAATCTCGACTCAATTGTAAGCGAACTGGATTCGCCATCTTCATAGTCGATCCCAATGTTCGAGTTTGTCACCCGACCATTCCAATAAATAATAAGCCGAAACTTCTTAAATTTACCCATGTCTGCAATTTATAATAATTAAGTATAGTATATAATTAGTACATTATGGATACAAAAACAATATCATCCAAAGCGATAATAAAATGCAACTAATTTATCTATTATGAGAAAACTAAACAAATTCATCTAAATTCATAACTAGCTAACTAACATCTATCATATCATAATTAAACTAAATAATATCATAACATATTTTCCAATAACCGCAATTCACTAAATACAAACAGTATAATTACTAACACATCAACATGTAAAAAATACATACTTATAACATACTCAATCCCGATCTATCATGATAACTAAACAAATTAATCTAAATTCAGTACTAACTAACTAACATATATCATTAATCTAAATATATAATTCTAACATACCTAATTCTAGCACATAATCAAAATGTAAACAATACATAATTCTAACATACCGAATCCCGACGAGTTTCTTGAGCAGTAAACTACGGAGGAACCAGCTGCGAAAACGATAATTTTGGTACTAATTTTCTGTTTGGCAGCAGGAGTGTTTGGCAGCAGGAGGGAAGAGGGGGCGTGGCTTTTTATAGGAAAAATTGGAGGCAATCACCGCTTTGGACAAAGGCGGTGAACCATCATCGCCTTAGTCAACAGCGGTGATGGCTAGGTAGCTGTTACCTACCTGTCCACCTACCAGGGCTGTGTAAAACGTGGGGGCAATCACTGCTGTGGACAACAGCGGTGATGGCTTCACTGTTGATGTCCAAAGCGGGGATACGTTCCCCGCTTTTGTCAAAAGCGGGGATACAATCCCCGCCTTGGACAAAAGCGGGGAACGTATCACCGCTTTTGACCACAGCGATGATGCATTCCCCGCTTTTGTCCAAGGCGGTGATGCGTACCCCGCTGCTTCACTGCTTTGGACAAAAGCGGTGATCAACATCACTGTCTTAGACAAAGACAGTGATGTTGAAACTGCTGTATTTTGGGAATTAGTTTTATAAGTACTGTATTTAGGGAATTTTTTTTAATAACTAGCGTATTCTGGGATTTTTTCCCAATTTCAAAGATGTTGAGATTGTTGGGTTTTGATTTGTGTCACTTTTTCGATCCCTTTATATCCCTAGTAGTTTTTTTCTTATACAAAGTGTTGAGGGTAAATGTGACATTTCCCCTAGGTAACTTTATGCAAATGAATACATAAACTAGAATCTCAATAACCAAACAATGTATTGTTAAAATGGATCCATTGTAACAAACAACGCTTTCGGATTGTTTGGGTTTGTTAATTTGGGTGATTTGTTTGGAGCCATAGAAAATTATCCATGGGCCAATATTAAAAGAAGAAAAAAAGTGTGAATTAACTAGTACCTTCACCCCACTGTTGTTGTAATCCAACGAGTATAAAAATACTAATTACCAAATTGTTGTTTAAATAGATAAGTATTAGTAAGGTAACTTAACCGTCACACAGTGTTAGCCCCAAGTTAATTTCGCATGATAACCGCGGGTTCTGACACAATATCTCATTATTGAGATCATTCTTTGTATCTCTGCATTGCTAGCCGACCTAGCTAGTTCTATTGTGGTTCACTTTTGTTACAAATTGGTCTAGTTTACTAGTCTAGTGGTTCGCATTTGAGAATTTATGACATGCTGAATTAGGTTTATGTCATGCTGCGTTTATGTTGTGGAACAAATTATTTGCATCGAAGTATGAGGGCATGCTGCTGATAATTGAATATAATAGTGTAAAGGAACAGTTAATTCCCATCTTTACTCAGTAAGTAACTTAACCGACACAAAGTATTAGCCACTAGTAATTGCGCATTGTAACCCCTGTTTCTCACACAATATCTCCTCATTGAGATCATTCCCCCGCCCCACGATCTTCTGTGTTAACTGCAGAATTTTTAATTTCTTCTGTTAGTACCTTTTTTCTTCTGCTAGGTGCTTCCTTTTGTTTTTACTGCTGTTATTATTTTACCTCCATTTCTCACTTTGTTATCTTGTGTCCAATCTACACTACAAAATTAGGGAGTATAGAGGACAATAATTAGAGACAAAGATTTAAAATTGTCTCCGGAATAACAAACTTAAGTGATATTAAGGACAACTCCATGTAATTGTCTTCAAAGCAATCCGAATTGGATGTTTCAATACTACGGGCCTAACCCAAGTTGTCCCCAAAGGTTTGGGCTGCCGATACTCTCACGATAAAGTCAGGGCAGCTTGAGTCTTAGGGTTTATTTATTCCCCAACTTTCGCCTACTCTCATTCTTCTGTGATCGCCAACAAGAGTCGAAGGCGATAGACCATAGCCCCGACCAATCGCAAGGTATGAGAGCACTTCTCTCTATATCTCCTTTCAATTTTCGTTCCTTCCATCAGTTCGTAGCATCACTAGCTTCCTCCTCCTTTGTGTCGTAGTTTTCATTCATCATCCTCCCACAGAATCCCTCACCCAATTAAGGATTCCGTATATTGCTTTAATGATCGCAATCACTCTTATGTTTAATCCCCTGAATCCATACCCTTTGATTTTCGTTTATGGAGATTACGGATTTAATTCTCCATTCTCAATTTTTATGTGCGTGTCACCAGTTATTTGAGACCATAACCTTTTTCTGTTAAAAAAAGTTCTCCCTCCTTTAATTAACTTAATTGGTTTTCATTCATCCAATTGTTTTGTGATGAAAAGTGGTGTGCAACAAAGTTCTCAATCTCAGGATAGAGGGAGAAGCAAGAGATATGACATGAAGGCTCTGATAGCTTCAAAAGAGTTCCAGATAAGTGATTTATTCATCTTGATCATGTGCATGCATGTGTTGGTTACTTGGTAACTAGGATATTTAGTTGAAAATCTCTGCTTTCTGCTCCAGGAAGAACATTTGGAGGCTGTATGGGAAAATAGTTTTATAAGTTAGATTGAATTTGGCGATGGGACAATGAGCTTGTAAATTGATTTATCACAATATCCAATACACTCTGCCACAAAGCTTGTGATAATTAGATCTTCCTTTCTCTTTTCAAGTTCTTATGGCGCTCAAATCGTCAACTCTGAATTTGGGTTTGGTTTATCTTTCAAGATGAAACAGATTTACCACAGAGACCAACTTTTTAAAATCATGTCCTATAATTTTAAGGAAACTTAGCCCTCTCTCGGTTCCTTAGCAGGTAAATCATTCTTCTATAATTTGTACTCCTTTTAATGTTAGTTCCTGTATATTACATTTTGTTGCTTGTTCTATTTGAGAAGGTCTAGGTACTTAACTATTCCTCAAGCTCTAGGTAGCCTCAAGAAGTGGTATTACGAGTTGTGACGGTTGTGAATGGACTACCTATTGCATAATAAGTGGATCTAATTCTCGATCGACTTCAATTACTATGTTGATGAAATATTGTCTTGTTTCATTGTGACAGGCTATTGAGTATTCACTTCCTAGAAGAATTTTGGAGGAATCATTTTCAAACCTCAAGGGTACATTTCCAGTAAGTAAGACAGAAAAATCTCACATGATTATTTATATTTATAGTTTAGCCTGATTGTAATATGTAATTTAAAGATAGTTATTCATAACACTTTTGTATTATTAAAATTTATAAGAGAATGCATTTTCCATGTTGTGTTGTGAATTGTGTGAATAATATGTAATTTGTATTTCTTGCGGAGTAAATTATTTTTTACACTTAAAGGATATAGGTTCTCTGTTATTAAAATATAGTTCTTCGGTTACTACCTATCGTCTCGAAAAACTTGCATTAAGGACGACTAACTGTCTTTAAATATAGTTCTTAGCAAGGAATAATGTCTCAAAAACACTTCATATGGGACGATTTGTCGTCTCTACAAATACTTCATAGGGGACCACTTGTCGTCTCCAAAAACACTGCATAGGGGACGACATCTTGTCTTAAATTGATACAAAAAGGATGAAATGTTGATTCGGATTTTTGAATCTTTGGGGACGATTATGTGTCCCTGATATTAGGGACGACTTTCATTTTTTGTTCCCAAAAGAAT